AACATTCGGGAATCTGAGCATATTATAAAAAAATTCTTAGAACAAAAGTTGTAGCAAATTTTGTTTTTAACAATATTGCTATTTTGCACTATTGCTGTTAGAAGCGTCAATATTAAGAAAAATACGAAAATATGAAGACTTGATGAATTTCGTTATTTTACTAGTTGTTAATGGTAACATTCGGGAATCTGAGCATATTATAAAAAAGTTTTTAGAACAAAAGTTGTAGCAAATTTTGTTCTTAACAATATTGCTCTCTTGCACTTTTGCTCTCAGACGCATAAATATTAAGAAAAATACGAAAATATGAAGACTTGATGAATTTCGTTATTTTACCAGTTGTTAATGGTAACATTCGGGAATCTGAGCATATTATAAAAAAGTTTTTAGAACAAAAGTTGTAGCAAATTTTATTCTTAACAATATTGTTTTGTTTTATTATTGTTCTCAGATGCGTAAATACAAAACCCTAAGTAAGTGATTGGATAATATTTCAGCTTTTAAGTTGAATTTAGCTAGTTGAATACTGTCTCAACCTTTACATGACGTATATAACGTAATTTTTAGTGAAATAATATAAAACGTCAAAAAAAAACCAATACTCATTTCATACACATACATTATTTTAAAAAAAGTTCTTTAATTGAAACAGTTTTGAGTCACATTTCTTAAAATTATCAAATCAGCTTATTTAAATTTTATAGTAATATTTAATGATTTAGTTCGGTTTAAAGCGGTTTATTAGGAAAATAGTGAATCATATTCAAATTGAATATTAAGTTGGTTAACCACAAAACGGAACGAAATCAACAAAACCAACGTAAAAATGATAAGCATAGGAAATGTAAATTTATTTAATAAAACTTCAAGTTGTGTATGTAACGTTCCTAAATTTACTTAAGTTTCTTAAAATTAAATTTAGTAGAAAATTAATAATAATATTCTGCACAATAAAAAATATTCCTTAAAAGACGTCAATAATTCAACAACGACTCATGTCATAGAACAACATATTTTCGAAATTAATTACAAATTCTTTTAATTCGTACGAATAACATAGTTATTATTATCTAGTATTTAAATTTACTGCGCAGTTTAAAACCAAACATTAAAATTTAAAATGTAAATCAATGCAATAACAACAATTGTTGAAGTTTTTTTCTTCTTTTATTCCATACTTGAGTACATTTGTGAAATAAAAAATTGAATATATCGAGGATTATTTACGTTACAATGAAAAGTTGCAATAATAGTAAAACAATGCATAAATATCTGGGTTTATTGTGTAATAATCCGTTTTCGGTGATGGTTGTGGCGTTATGCTGCGGTAGCAAAACGTGAATCACCAACCTAATCCTGTGGGAAAACGACACCAGTTTCCTTTGTCTCTACTTGCTTGCCTCCTGTCTAATTGTGCCCTTTAATCCCCATTATTGTACTCGGGGCGCGACGTCGTCGAGTTCTCCACGTCAAAACCGTCATCGTACAATGTAAATTGTAACAACCACATTTTTAAACTGTCATAATAAACTTGTGTGTAATTCGCCTACGAAATATGTGCTTAGAGATGAGATGAAAATTTCATTTTTAAAGGAGGGGTTTAAGTTATTTATTATGTGATTTATGTGACCATAAAAAATATAAAATCTACTAATTCTTAATAAATTTATTTTGATCGATCGTGGATTTATTTATTTTTTTTTTAATCAAGATATTCAAGTTTTATTTCTCATTCTTTAAGTAATCACTTTTTGAAAAGTTTTCTTTGCTTTTCTTTTAAGTAGCCCCCTCTTGATTTCCACTTTTCAGTTAATGGACATGGCACGGCTTTGTAATTTTCAGTTTTATTTAATTCGGATGAACGAACATTTCAACAAACGTTCAAAGAACGGCTTCTCTCGGAAAATCTTTGATGTTTGCAGGAGTTTAATTAACGCCCGGTGTTCTTAAATTTCCTTTAAAACTCGACTCGTTTCACTACAAAAGCCGGATTTTATTTTTATGTTATTTTGTTTACGATTTTACGATACACGGTTAATCTTAGACGAAACTCTTTTTAAATTATACCCCGGGTTTATCGTCTACTTACGATCGAGTATTGATTTATTATACGAGATTTTAAAAACAATGAAGATTATAATTTACAATAAAAATAGGTTTTGAACAAAAAATAATAAAATAATTTCCGCAATTGTTACATTTTAAATTAGAACAGCTGTTCCTTGGTTCAATTCAACTTTGTATGTTATAAGATTACTTCTTAGGAGGGCATAAATATATCTATAATTAGATTCTGAATATTACAGGTGTTTAAAAACCCACTTAATAATTTACATAAATATACACTTTCATTGATAGAAAAATTTAATATAGGTTTATTAACTTTTAATGTAATTACAGTAAAACCTCGATGTAATGAACCTAGTTAGAACAGATTATTCGCCGCGGTGTTTACCAAGTTACGATGTATAAATCAAAATGTTGGTTCTAACTCAATATTTTTTTTCTCCATATTTTTATAATCTAACCCAACGATTGTTATATTATAGATCATTTTAAAGAGGAAACTTTAAGCTTTAATTTAATACAAACCTCGTTTCTTTCTTTAAATAAATAACGATTCCACGAATTTTTCAATTTTGACATTTACAGATTAAGCAAAAATGTTGATTCTAACTCATTACTTTTTATCTGCATATTTTTATAATCTAACCCAACGATTATGATACATCATTTTAAAGAGGAAACTTTAAGCTTTACTTTAATACAAACCTAGAATCTTTATTTCCATAAATAACGATTTCACAAATTTTTAAATTATGACCTTTTCTGACATTTATAGATTAAGCAAAAATGTTGGTTCTAACTCCTTACTATTTTTCTCCATATTTTTATAATCTAACCCAACAATTATTATACATCATTTTAAAGAGGAAACTTTAAGCTTTAATTTAATACAAACCTCGAATCTTTATTTCCATAAATAACGATTGCACGAATATTTAAATTGTCACCTTTTTTTACATTTATAGATTAAGCAAAAAAGTTCGTTTTAACTCATTACTCTTTTTCTCCATATTTTCATAATCTAACCTAACGATTATTATACATCATTTTAAAGACGATACTTTAAGCTTTAATTTAATACAAACCTCATTTCTTTATTTCCATAAATAACGATTCCATAAATTTTTAAATTTTGACCTTTTTGACGTTTAAGCAAAAAAGTTGGTTCTAACTCATTACTATTTTTCTCCATATTTTTATAATCTCACCCAACAATTATTATACATCATTTTAAAGCGGAAACTTTAAGCTTTAATTTAATACAAACCTCGAATCTTTATTTCCATAAATAACGATTGCACGAATTTTTAAATTGTCACCTTTTTTTACATTTATATATTAAGCAAAAAAGTTGGTTCTAACTCATTACTTTTTTTGTCCATATTTTTAAAGTCTAACCCAACGATTATTACACATCATTTTAAAGAGGAAACTTTAAGCTTTAATTTAATACAAACCTCGTTTCTTTATTTCCATAAATAACGATGTCACGAATTTTTAAATTTTGACATTTACAGATTAAGCAAAAAAGTTGGTTCTAACTCATTACTATCTTTCTCCATATTTTTATAATCTCACCCAACAATTATTATACATCATTTTAAAGCGGAAACTTTAAGCTTTAATTTAATACAAACCTCGAATCTTTATTTCCATAAATAACGATTCCACGAGGTTTAAAATTTTGACATTTACAGATTAAGCAAAAATGTTGGTTCTAACTCATTAAACTTTTTCTCCATATTTTTATAATCTAACCCAACGATTATTATACATCATTTTAAAGAGGTATCTTTAAGCTTTTATTTAATACAAACTTCGTTTCCTTAGTTCCATAAATAACGATTTCAGGAATTTTTAAATTATGACCTTTTTTGATATTTATAGATTAAGCAAAAATGTTGGTTCTAACTCAATACCTTTTTTCTCCATATTTTTATAATATTACCCAACGATTATTATACATCATTTTAAAGAGGATACTTTAATCTTTAATTTAATACAAACCTCATTCCTTTATTTCCATAAATAACGATTTCACGAATTTTTAAATTTTGATCTTTTCTGACATTTAAGCAAAAAAGTTGGTTCTAACTCATTACTTTTTTCTCCATATTTTTATAGTCTAACCCAACGATTATTATACACCATTTTAAAGAGGAAACTTTAAGCTTTAATTTAATACAAACCTCGTTTCTTTATTTGTATAAATAACGATTCCACGAATTATTAAATTTTGACATTTACAGATTAAGCAAAAATGTTGGTTCCAACTCATTAAACTTTTTCTCCATATTTTTATAATCTAACCCAACGATTATTATACATCATTTTAAAGCGGAAACTTTAAGCTTTAATTTGAGACAAACCTCGTTGCTTTAATTAGTCTAGTTTAGTTCTAGTTTTAGTTGTTATTCAGTGCTAGATTGTTGAACTAAAAGTAGCAACAAATTAATAATTTAAAGAATAAAGTTATTGATTTTTTTGTGCATAATCATAAATTAAAATAAAATTACTTCTGGTTTATCTGTTTGTTATCTAAAAAAAATGTAGGGTAATGAACAAAGGGGGTAAATAAATACTGCATTATTCCTATTTGGCCTCACCCACCTTATCAGTTTATTTATTATGCACGCAATTGTGGAACCTTTTTTGCAATTTTATTACCTAATGTACACAGACAATCCACCCATTAACTGCGTAACCTACATAAAAATTATTAACGGGCATATTTTAAAAAAATTCAAAAAAATAACTATGTAATTACACGGTTTTACTTATTTTTTTCTATTTTTACTGATTTTATCTATTTAACTTTTCCAGATTTAACCGGAACTTAACAATTATATCAATATTACAAAAAAAACAGGAAACTCATCAAAACTACATCAATACATAACATAAAAAATCAGTTATTTCTGAAATTTCAAACAATGAATTTGTCGAAAACGTTTTTATTTTCCTTAGTTTTAATTTTAAACGTATTTTATTGTACATCAAGTGTTTTCGATGAAGCTAAACTTCGACAAAAAGCAATAAAAATGATTTTCGATTGTAAATCGCAATCAAAAGCAACCGAAGAAGATATAAAAATGATAAGAAATAAAAAATTGCCTACGACCCGTGAAGGTTTATGTTTGATTGAGTGTCTTTTAGATGGTTTAAATGTAATGGAAAATGGAAAACTAAATAAACAAGGTGCTATCAACGTTTTTACATCAACAATAAAAGGAGATTCAAATAAAATCAAAATAATAACGAGAATTGTGAATACGTGTGAGAAAAAAGTAGGAAATGATCGTTGTTATAACGCGGGGAAAATTGTTAATTGTTTAATGAGTAGAGAGAAAGCATAAAAATAATGTTGTTATAAATTGTTTTATTAAAAATCATGAAAATAAACATTATTTTCAAAGCTGAAGGTAATTTATTGGATGAGTTTATGAAACCGGTGGTAGAGGTGCCGACTGGAAGCTAGAATCTTATCATAATCCGCAATAATAAATTTTGTTGGATTACACCAAAACCTGTACAGAAATATAAACATCGAAAAATCTTTGTGTTTAGCCGGCAATTTAATCAACCCTTTTATTATAAAAAAATCATTTGGAGTCAAAACTAAATAGGTATATTTAGTACTTAAGTAAGATTTAAAACTTGGTTTCAATTTAGTTATAAATACAGTAAAGCCGATATGTTATGTTGCAGGTTTGAAGCAAAAAAAATTGAGAATTTTAATGATTTCAAAAATATGGTAAATAGGTGCAGTTTTCTCTTGGGCATCGCATGAATTTCGCTCATCATCAGCGCTTGAACGGGGTAAACCCCGATTTAATCAGTCTCGTATTAATGAAATGATCCGCTAATTGTCACATATACGCCCCTGTATAACCTTCTATTTACGTTCCAACCTCACAACCAACGTTTCTAATTTTCCTTGCATGAATAAAAGTACTAAGAAAGAATAATTACTGGGTTAGTTTACATTTTCATTGAGTTGCATAATGAATTTTTCTCTGATTTTCTAAATGGATTTAAAAAGAACCGGAACTATAACAATTTCGTTTTTCCTCTTCGTTTACTGTTGAATTGTTACTATATACGGTTGAGATGAGAATTATCCTTAATTCAGACATGTACACCCTTTGACCAAAAGAAATAATGCCCTTTCCCGACGGTAGGGTTCTTCCTTTTCCCTTTCCCTCTCTCTTTCTCTGGATGGGTTTTAATTAAAGGCCGCCCTCTCGGACAAAATGAACATATTTATCTTGCATCACATGAACGAATTGGTTTTACACCTCGTTTGGTACGTTTTCGCTCTTGCAACAACGAAAACTGGAAAGTTCAAAAGGAATCAACACAACAAGGAAGAGTTGTTAAAAGATTATGTATGAAAAGAAATAAGTTTCTTGGAAAATTTAACCGCTGACATTTATAGAATTCCTTTGCATTCACTTCCTTTTTGGTTACATAAATTTGCATAAGGATATGAGTTGTTTATATTGTGGTATTAAATCCGGCATGATAATTAATATTTATCGACTTTTTAGTTCAAAATTTATTAAGACATCCTGGATTGGTTACCATTTTATTCTTTGGCGGTCCATTATAGTAAAGTTCTTGTAATCGAGTGAGAGCCGACCAGATTCCGACATCTGCGTCGAGCTTTGGCGTTGCGTCCGGAAGCTCAGGTGGCCTTAGAACCGAGAGCTTTTACGCGAAGTGGCCGCGCCGTTGCATTCCCCCGATCCTCCAAGCTTTTCAGGTTCGAGCATCATCGCTAAATCACCGGCTCTAATCTTTTCTCTGTTCCGGTCTCAGTAATTTGATTTTTCTTTGCGATCTTTCGAAGACCTTTAGACCGAAGCAGCTTTCTCTTAAAATGTTCGACGTAAAGCATTTTCTTTCTGGTAATCCGAGAGGAAGCGAAAAATAAATAAGTGTGACCTCAGCGTGTGAAACCCATTACGGCAATTAAACTACTACTCTAAAGTCGGAGTGTTTAATTGGTGATTAAGTGGAAAACGGCGAGGGCGTGCGAATTTCGCCTCAGCGCGAGCTTTTGCCCGTTAAAATGTGGAAAAATAAACCAATGAGCTGTTCCGGTTTTTATTGTTGTCATTTTGATGTATGTCTCATAATAACATGTTTATTAAAGACTTTTGTATAAAGATTCAGGATATACACAAAAAGAATTCTAAGAATTTTTGGCACCCATTTTTAGATATCTAAGAAATGTTGTCTTAATTAAAACTTATCGTTATCTTGTATGATAATTTCAGGAGTTTCCTACTAAATTTTGATAATAAAATAGAAATGCCATTTAAAAATGTGGTTAGGAAATAGAAAACCCAGAAATTTATTTATAACCATATAAAAAGGATGTAATCGTTTTATAATCGAAACACGAATTCCAATTTATTTTATTCCACAAAATTGGTATCGCTTTTATACTTTTTCAATTGCGCTAATCCGGTTAATGAGTTAATGACTCGGGGGCTCCAGTTTCCTCTTCGTTTTATCAATGGAGAAGCGAGCGGTCGTCGTAATTTCTTTGAGTGGCCTGTAATTTACCCGTCAGCGGAATTGACAATTAAACCAATATGTTTTATGAAATCTTCAACAGATTCGCACGATCTTTTGCCCTTTCCTGCTTAACGCTCCCAGAAGTGACATCATTCTACTCGAACATATTGTGTGATTCATCCGAATTTATTTTTTCGGTTGTTTCCTCCTTATTATTATGATGTGTTTCACAATTTTACACCTAATTTTTTATTAAAAGAAATTTTAAATATCCTATTTTACCTTATTAAACATTTTAAGATTTATAAGTTGTCAATCAATGACAGTTTAAATGACAACTAATCAAAAATAAAAGTGAAGTTTGCTTTTAAGTTTTTTATATATTTTTTTAAGATTTTGACATTAATTTTTTTATTAATTAGAAAAATTAATTTAAACAAAGCATTTTAATTGTAATTGAACGAATTTAAACAATTTTTATATAAAATCAACCAAAAATAATAAAATCATTGTGTCTAACTTCATTGTGTATTTATGTTTTATTATAAAATCGATTTTTTTTATAATTCATTTTTAAATTTTGAATAATTTATTAAAAACCTTTATTTTTACCATCATTGAATCAATTTCACTTGACTTTATCAATAAACTTATAAGATTTCTAATAAATTAAAAATCTTAGTAAAAAGTTAGGTTAAGTTAAATGTCAAATATGACAAATACTCTAAATCTTCTGTAAACTTATTATTTTTAGAATAATAAGTTAGAATTTTAGATAACTTTTTTTACTTTCATTTTAGTAGATTGAAATCAAATTTGACGCGCGGTGGAATGTGCGTCGAAAGGGGGATGTTTTAATAGAATCATTGTGTCTAACTTCATTGTGTATTTAAGTTTTATTTTAAAATCGATTTTGTTCATAATTCATTTTTTAATTTTGAATTATTTATTAAAAACCTTTATTTTTACCATCATTGAATCAATTTCACTTGACTTTATCAATAAACTTATAAGATTTCTAATAAATTAAAAATCTTAGTAAAAAGTTAGGTTAAGTTAAATGTCAAATATGACAAATACTCTAAATCTTCTGTAAACTTTTCGATAAAGAATTATTTTTAGATGATTTTTTTTGGTTTCATTTTAGTAGATTGAAATCAAATTTGACGCGCGGTGGAATGTGCGTCGAAAGGGGGATGTTTTCGTTTTGGGGAACACATAATCTTGTGTCAGAAGCAGGATAGATGACCGAACCACCTGCGCCCGCATCGATTCTTCGCACGCGTACGACGCGTCCTTCCACGGTGTGAGATAAATACTTTGTAGCAGACGTGTGCACCACACAGTAATTAGGCCCCAATAAAGTCATTTTTGACGTCTGCTCAACTTTTTCATCAGATTTGTCCAATTATAGTTGTGCGCCAAAGGAACGGACCCCCTTAAACCCATATAAAGCAATCAAAACTATTTTAATAAGATACTCTTCTGTTATCCTTAATAGAACTAGTTTATGTTAACTTTAAAATAATTCTACCTTTATAGGGGTTTTTAAATGAGTCGTCTAATAAAGAAGTAGGTCGAAGTCGGTGCAGTCTGTAGAGGAAATAGAAAAACAGCTTTCATCGATGAAGAGAACCTGCCTCCTAATTCATTTACATTTTAAAAAGATGTCCATGGCGTTGCATTCATTCAAGGTTACTATTTGTGTCACTAGTGCAGAAAAAGTAAAACAAATCTTGATCGTAAAATTACCCGGAGTAGAATTCTAACAACGCCTAATTGATTAATGATTTTTTATGCAACCTCCATTATTATCAGTATTATTTTCTAATTAACGAAGATGATACGAAAAGTTACCCTCATCATGTTATTGATTCAAAAATAGTCACTAACTCAACCACAATTATTTACAATCTTCATTTAATTGCTAATATTCTTGATGCAGGTTTGTAATCTTTTGTGATAATAATTTCTATTTGCATACACAGGATGTCCCCAAAATCCTCATAATATTCTAAATAGTATTTCAACAAACACTTTAGACATTTTATGTGAAAACGAATTCATATAGTAGTCAATTAATAGTAGCAATTTATTATAAACGTCGACCATTCATAATAGAACACTCGATTCGAACGGAAATTACACGGTAACGACTTTAATTTCGTGCTCTTTCTGTTTACCATCGAGCCATTAATCGTCTCGAGTAATTGATTTATTACACGCGGGATACAATTAAGGGTAAATTGATACCAAACTCTTATGGGCTTTTAATTTCTTCATTTTCGACCTCTTCAACGAAACCAATTCAATTTTTTTTTCCGGCTATTACCGTGAAATATTAATTCGCTGTGTTTACGATTTGTCCAGAAATATTATTTTTTTTTGTTTGAAAATATCTTTAAGAGTACTAAATTGTATCCTCCTTTCTTGCGGACGTCCACAATCGTGATTTGTTCCACTTAAACCGTTGATGATGATGATGATATCATCAAGTAACAGTAGCGGACGCAGCACGCATTTAAATCGCGCATTACGCAATCACGTGGCCTTTTGATCTTGTGACCACTTTGCCAGAGCACCAGAGAGCATCACAGTTGTCCGGGTGACCATACAGGTCCGGTGCATCCGATTCTATATACAGACAGAGGCGGACATCTGTTTCTAGCTTAATTAAAGCCAACAACAACAGCGATACTGACTCCTGCTTTTGATGTGTGTGTCTGTGTAAATGTGGAAGCCTATTCGTGCAAATTTTCTGAATTTGCGTTAATTTAGATGAGTTAACGAGGAATCGTGGGCGACCGAGCGTGAGAAAAACCTGAACTGA